CATTCAATTATTTGGTCTTGTACACTTCCTTTGAAAACCCATGAAATTCTGTTTTTCTTTTATCAATCTTGTCTTTCATATATGTCAAGGAAAAAACAACCGCAGGCCTTGGAAAGTTTCACTCACATGGTTAGCTTACTAAGTCGAGCCTCTATAGAATTCGAGTGTTACTATAATCCCCTTGTCGAAATCTTAATTTAGTGATACTGTATGCCTTGGGCATTCTACAGGCGTCTTCATTGGTTTTCTTTTTACTTATAATTATCTGTCCAAAGTTCTAGGCAAAATTTGCCTTCTCAATGCCGTTGTTCGGAAATAAAAGGCTGAAACATTACAATACTTCTCCACAAAATGAGTTTCTTCGGCAGGAGAGTAATGGAATGGGCTGAATTCAAGGCTCTGAGTTCGTTTCAAGCTCTACGCATACTGAAATTATCTCGTTACTCACGAGAATCAGAAATCTTGGCACTTGTACACCAGCAGAGGCGACCCACCGTAATTTCGGTGGGTCACCTCTCGTGCACAAGTGCCGAAATATTCGGGCGATCTTGTGCGTATAGCTCTTCAGCAATTGCACTTACAGAAATACCTCAGATTTGTTCACCACGATATTCTTCACGGATTACTTTACTTTACTTGCCAGCGGAAATCTTCTGCAAGAAGCTCATGAACCAAGATCTTCTCCGCATAATTTAATACGTTGTCATATCCGGATAATCAAATTACTCAACTTTAATTACTAATTATTCCACCCGTACAGTAGATCGGATCGCCATGACAAAAAGTTGTTCTCACTTTCACTTGAATACGAATATGTTCTATATTCGGTAAGGCCCCACTTCGAAGGAGCAGAACTCTGATTAAAGTGGGTATGCCCAGTGGCATTGTGTTGACAAACTTGAGCTTCCAGTGGTGATCCCCATTTGACCCCGCCGCCAAAAAATAGGGCCTTTCATTCCCAGGCACCATTAAGAGGGCTGCAGATTTTTTCTCCTCTCAACCCCCTTTCACTTCTTCTCCTGCCAAAACAGGATTTTACGTGTACTGGGGACGTGAATTCTACTGTCCACTGATTCCCCCTTCAACAAGGCATGGGTTTCCTTACCCAAAATACATGTGAATTGATGCACATTGGTACACAGGAATTACTGTATCATGAAAACTAAATGGTAAGGCATCCTAACAACCCCATACTTCAAACCAGAGGGAGGAAGTCTTTTAGACAATACTAGATTTTCGGGTAGGAGAGTAAGAATTATGGGCTCCATGATGAAATCCCACAGGAGAAAAAATTCCGCGGCCCGAAAATCCCGTGAGGCTGAAAATCTGGTATGCCAAAAAATCTCGCGGGGTCCAAAAATTCCGCTGGTATGAAAATCTCGTATAGACTACACATGCGAAGAAGTCACAAAAAGGCTTGGTCTGAAGTACTGTGTGTTCCTTTTACAGAAATGTATTCAATTTTCATTTTAAACATATTTTTTGAATTATTCTTCTTTTGCGTTAGACCAGAAATAGAAGCGGTGGAATCTAATTTCATCGAAATACGCCACAATTCAGCTATGTTTTCATCCTCTGTAGGGCTGATTTTCACTCCAGGTTTGTGGAAAATTTTCAAGGTGAGATTACATGGATTTGAATTATTTCTTGGGTAACAATTCCAACCATGGATAGGGATCAAGGGGGTTGAATGGGTTATTCAGGAAACAGAGCACTCATTTCCCTCCATCACTGTCACAGCTGCTTTTGTTTCAATGACAAATTTTCAGCCTTCATTCAGCTATCCTTCTACAGCAATTTTTCATGTTGAGAAGTTTTCATTTTCTCTTTTGTGAGGTACGGTGAATCCTATACAGGACCAAGGTAAAAGGGAAGCGGGGATTAGTAGATGACAAAAGCTTCCTAGATTTATCAAGAAATATACAGTAGAAAACTTGTGGAAAAATGAATCAGTCTTCATCCCTTCTCAGTGCTGCTGGGATATTTCTTAAGAATTTGAATGGCTCCATGAGAAAAACCCTATGATAACATTGATAGAGAAATTTCAGTAGAAGCAACAATTGATAAGAAATCTTGTGCAGTGCAAAAATTCCAATGTAACAAAGTGTCTTGTCAAACTCATGCTCATTTTGGAATAAATGTATTTGATTTAATAATTATACTTCATTTTCAGCACCATAATGCCAAAACTCACAGAGGCCTGAAAACTTTGCCAGGTACAAAAATCCAGCAGGAACAAAAATCCCAAAAACATTGATTATTGTATCAGGAAAACCCACTTTGCTACGCACAACAGGCAATGAAGTTTACAATTGAGTTACAAAGTTAAATTAGGTTACAGCAAAAAAAGGACTGGTATTGTACCATTGGGATGTTTGCACTGGACAAGATTTTCTGATCAATTTTCTCTTCTACTGAAATTTCTCTATCAATTTTATCATAGGGTTTTTCTCATGAAGCCATTCAAATTCCTAAGAAATATCACAGCAGCACTGAGAAGGGATGAAGACTGATTCCTTTTTTCCACTGGGATTCTACTATGCACATATTTCTTAATAAATCTAGGAAGATTGTGTCATCTACTATTCCCATCTTCCCTTTTACCTTGGTCCTGTATAGGATTCACAGTACCTTACAAAAGATAAATTGAAAACTTCTCAACATGAAAAATTGCTGTAGAAGGATAGCTGAATGAATGCTGAAAATTTGTCATTGAAACCAAAGTGACAATGATGGAGGGAAATGAGTGCTCTGTCTCCTAAAGAAATAATTCAAATCCATGTAATCTCACCTCAAAACTTTTCCACATGCAATCCAGATGCATCGTGTGGCTGTGTGATGGGTTACGCAGACAGGATTCTTTGAGCGTCAACTGAGGGGATTAATCAACTGAAGGGAGAAACTCATTTACTGCATACCTTTTCACTTTCCTAGTTCACTTCTCAGTGCTTGGAAAAGTCTGTTGCTCAGCAACAACTGTCCTGTCAAAGGTTTGATCCCTATCCCTGGTTGGAATTGTTACCCAAGCAATAATTCAAATCCATGTAATCTCAGCTTGAAAATTTTCCACAAACCTGGAGTGAAAATCAGCCTTCCAGAGGATGAAAATATTGCTGAATTGTGGCTTATTGCGATGCAATTAGATTCCACCACTTCCATCTCTGGTCTAAGGCTAAAGAAGAATAATTCAAAAAATATGTTTAAAATGAAATCTGAATACATTTCATTAAAAGGAACATACTTCTTCCATGTATTTTTGTGACTTCAAATTTTTGGCCTCAGGGGATTTTTGGGCCGCGGGATTTGTTCTCCTGTGGGATTTCATCATGAAGCCCGAAATTCTTACTCTCCTACCCAAACATATACTATTGTCTAAAAGACTTCCTCACTGTGGTTGATGTCTTACCATTTAGTTTTCATATGTCCTGTGTATTGTACCAATGTGCATCAATTCACATGGATTTTGGTTAAGGAAACCCTTGCCTTGTTGAAGGAAGTGGACAGGAGAATTCACGTCCCCAGTATACCTAGAATCCTGTTTTGGCCGGAGAAGAAGTGAAACGCGACTGAGACGAGACAAAATCTGCAGCCCTCTTAATGGGGTCTGAGAATGAAAGGCCCTTTTTTGGGATTTTTTTTGGCGGCGGGGTCAAACGGGGATCACCACTGGGTACTCAATTTTTTCACCCAGAACTCTTCCCCCTGCGTCCCCCATCCCCTCACACCCCGCACCCAACAGCCAACACTCTCTCTCCTGTGGTTGCGCATGAGTGACTTCAAGAATTGGGAATAAATCCCTTATGGAGGAATGGTGTAGCACAGCATGACTCCATGTGAGAAAAAATGATTTCTCCATATATTTGTGAAATGATATGATGGGATGTTCCATGGGTCTTTTAGATGTCAGGCATATTTTCTGAAATGTGGTTTGACAATAAGTACATTTTACATAAGTTGCATTCAATTGTGGTTTGACAAGTGCCTCTTCTGAGGCCTGCTTGACATCAGTTTCATTGAACTTGGGCATTTTATTACTTCAAGCAAGGAATTAGCTTCAAAAGGGTTCAACAATTTGGTTTTGTGGGTTCAGAATGGCCAGGATTGTTCAGCAATAACAGTAGTGTATAGGCCTTGATGGCAATTTTCTATTGAGCAGACAAGATCAATTCCTTGACACTGCCTGTATTATTCAGATACAATATAATTTTAATCAGGGGGAGGCTTCAACAAAAATACAATAATTGACAAGTTCAGGAAGACAGGAGTTTTTTACACAAGGAATTCTGCTGCAGAAATTATTCTTATTGCTGTATATTTATCTCAAAGCATGAAATATACATTCACATTCAGTGTGTCATGAAGAATGTGCATTCAAGATTTTTATAAAGAATTTTTCAAGCTTTCAAGGGTGACAAGTTCCTATTTGATAGGTTCTATACCAGTTTGACAAGAGTCCACTTACTGCAATAAAGAGTCCCCTTCCTGTACAAGAGATCATATTCAAAAATAGTTCTATGAGAATAAGAGGATAATTTCTGCATCAGGAGGCTAAAGCTTTTAACAATAAGAGGCCAGCAGTTTTTAAAAGACAGTGTATGGGCCGGTTTTCATTGGAATGAGATTCTGACAAGAATCCAGTTGAAACAATGGAAGAATTTTTGACACATGCAATGCCATTTTCATATAATAACCATACTGTAGTTATCTACTATAGCAGTGGTGCTTTGCCTAGCAAATTTACAGCCCAATGAACAACCTGCCTAACAAACACCCTGAAATACAAAATGACTTGCCTGGCAAACACTGACCTGCCTAGCAAATTTTTGTTTGCCTGCCCTTAAAATAATACATTTGAAAGAAACAATTTAATGCTGTTGTTTCTTCCCTTCAACAAAAATGGTTGTTTCTCATGCATTTTTGTTGAGGAAAAGTGAGACAAAGGGAAGGAAATTGTAATTGGGGATATTCTAGGCATAAATTGCTTCCTAAATGAGTTGACAGGATGCAGAACTTGGAGGCAAGGGTTCATTTGCCAAACTAATCCCCCAATTTCTTTCAAAAGTTAGTATAAGTTCATTTTCATGGATTTCCTTTGACATTGTTACATTTTTATGTCTTTCATCTTTTCCTGTGATAATCAAATAAAAAAGACTCCAGATTTTGGATGGAGGTTTGAGGGGTCAAAAGTTTCAGACTCAGGGAGGTTTTTAATGCATGTCATTTCTTACAAAATTCAGACATATATGACTTGAAAATAATTTGATTTCATGAGGTTCCAAGGTTATCCCTAGTTTAATTTTAGTTTGTAAGAGGGTTGAAGAGTGATTGTACCTCATGCAAAAGTGACATCTATGCAAAGTCATACCAGAGGATTGACTCCTGCTTAGCTCATAGATGTCACATATGCATGAAGTACAGTACAAGTATAATACAGCTTCTAAATGTTATTCAGAATAGATAGCATCTCTCTAGTTTGAATAGGAAGATCTTCAGAAGAAAATTCAGGTGTTCTAAAGTACAATATGTTTTCTTTGAGTTTCTTCAAATTTAGGAAATTTTGATAATATTAGCAGTAGATTTCATTTACAGGAAGTAATGAATGGATTTTACATTGGCCTTGAAGGGAAAACATCAGTTGCACTACAACCTAGCAAACATAGTCCAGGAACTGCATGCAAGTGCTGTTTGCTAGGCCTGGGGCACCACAGCATGTATATTTTTGAGTGTGCAATCCCAGAAAATAATGCAGGTGTATGTCAGGCATTACAAGCAGGCATGAGAGTACCTATTTTCAACCAATAACATATGTGGTTTGCCTGTTACAATAATGTTAATTGTTCTGTTATCCATGTAAGTTGGAAATACAGGCCAGCCACAAAAAAGTAAGTAATGCATAAGAACACCCATAACAAACCTATGATGATGAGTGATTTGCTAATGATTTTCTTGAAAATTTGAAATACAGGTCAATCAAATTTTGGCCAGATTGTGATTGGGTTTTTCCTTGACACACACATTGGTTGGCACTGCATTTTCCAGCTGTTTCTGATGGCCATTGAACTTAACTTACCTATTCTTGACAACTACAATTGTGTGCTCTCTCAACCAATTTTGTGCATGATCTGATTTACTTTTATTCACCAGTTTTCATGAGCAGCATGCTGGAATTGATTTCATCCATCTGTAATGATTTCAGCAGTGACCAAGTGGCTTTCAGCAGTGATTATTGAATATAGCTGCAATAATTTAGCAGTGAAGATTTTGGGAAGACTTCCAGGGCAAAATAATATGGTGCATACTAAATAACACATGTTTTCAAAGAAATATCAAAGCTTAGGTTAGAATGCTAGCTTATTTTGAAGAAATTTACTTCCAAAAATAACATCAGTTTAAATTTTTGAATGAACAAGATTTTATGTGCTGAAATGAAAATTATGCATTATGATCAGAATAATTGTCAATTTGGAAATTTTAAATAATTTTTTTGCTTTGTTCCAAAGATGAAGTCTAATAACAGCAACAGTGTTAGTCATATCAGCGAGAAAAATTCAGCATACTTCCAAAACCATCGTCCTAAAGTCGGATGCAGACTGTTCGAGTCCATCTATGTATCGATCTATACTCGTGGTTTACGCACAAGAAAACCATCAAATGGAATTCACCTGAAATCCTGCTCCAAAACATCAAAACACCTGGAAATATATGGAAGTGCTGGAGGTGCAAAAAAGCTTCCTAATTATCACGCGTATTTTGTATTTTCAACAGATTCAAAATAAACAACAAAAAGATCCCACAAAAGATGATTGCCTCTGAAGTTCTGTTTCAAAGCATCACAACTCGAGGAAATGTACACAGTATATGGAAGCGGAGATGTAAAATATGCTTCTCAATTATCACCCATATAGATTTTCAACAGATTCAAAATAAACAACAAAAAGATCCCACGACAGATGATCACCATAGAGTCAATTAAACCACATAATTTCACAGCGCTCCATTTTCGACAGAATCACATAATGAACTCCATCACGTTCGATTTCGAAAACTGAACCGTTCACCAAACGTGACGTATTCGTAGTTGGGCACAGGATTTAGAAAATCATCTTCAGTATTTGTCGGGAACGGCTTGGGCTCATTCCATCGGTTAGGGCTAATATGCGTACTTTCTTCAAGGAATGTCATCCCATAAAACGGATTAGAGAAGTAAGGAGAGTTTGCAGAAGTCCCTTGGGTTTCCTTGTCAGATTTCTCTTCTTGCAACATGCTACTGCTGTCTTTGTTCAAATCGGACGATGACGAATACTGAATGTACGAGCAGCAGGATCCAAGCAACTGCTGATTGAACCTTATCATTGCACTTGTAGGCAGCATTACGTAACGCTGATTTCCACCTGCACAAAGTTCAGAGCTTATATAAAGCGGTACAATAACGGAATGAATACCAGCATACATTCAACCATTAAATCAAATGAAATAACAATCGAGTTTATTTACCTGACTTCGGTTGAGCAGTGAAGCAGGGCTTTTCGTCTTTTTTCAAGGATACATGTGGAGGAAAAAAGAAGATGGCATCCCACAGGGGATTCACCTGACGAACAACCTTCCCATAAGTAATGACAGCTGGGCGGTGAGTGCACGAAAACCTTGCGGGACGATTCACAAACCTGCGTAGATGGAATGAATTCTCCGTACCCGATGTTCACGATGAGCTTTGAAGCAAATTCATATGTACCCAGCATGGAGCGGAATTTATAGGATAGCCGATATCACGTGACTGACTCGGTCATGAGAGTCGTAAAATGTGTATCGGAGATGTATACTGTACTCACTTCCGTTTGTGTCCAAGTCGAACAACCAGAGGGAACGGTGAACCAGGAATTCGCATCCCGTGGAAATTTCGAACGGCTGTCACACAATCGGCAGCTTTACGCATCCGCACAAAGCCGCAGCTGCAGTCCTTATTGGTCACATGTGCATCGCCCGAACTGTTCTGCCCAACTATCCAGGAGAGCATCACTTCGCCGACAACGGATACCATGTCAGCAAGTTCCTCTTTCGTCATCATCTTGGGTAAGTTGCACAAGTAAACAGAAAAACTATCCATCTCACGGGGATCTAGAAGGCGACGTGTATGGCATCCAATGCGAGCCAATGTGTCGACCGCAGAGACTGCAGCTCCAACCGAGGCAAATCGCACGTAAACGTTTCTAAGAAGCTGGCCTGAGCAATACTTGAGTAATTCCTGCTCAGAAACCGCCTCGTCCACGTTCAAGTAAGGATCATTCGAGTAAGGCTTAGTAGGTTTGTAAAGCTCATCACATTCCACCTCAAGGACCTAAACATACATTTCCATGCAGCGAACAGTCGATAGAGAATAGAGGGGATGAAAAATGCATACCTGTCCAAAGTGCATGAATCTATCAGCAATCGTGTCAGGCAGAATGTGACCAAACACATTCTTGCATTCGATAATCGTGGCTGCGAACACTGTCCTAGTCTTCAAACACCCCGCAGCAACAGCATTTACCGGAAAGCTCGACTGTGCCCCACCCCGTTCACGGAGGGACAAATTCTCCAAGTCAAGAAGATCCACCGAATTTTCTGATCTTGAGTATTTCGTATTATCATTAAGATCCACAGCTTGATTCTTAGAGACATTGCAACCCATTATTTGCAGGCCCGATGTCTGCTCGTCGTCCGCTCTTCGCAATGTGTACTTCTGTGCCATATCATCCACAGAATTCACTCAACACACACTATCTGACCAACAATATATACTTCCACACCGCTGAAAACTTTTAAGTGACGCACGTACTAAAACCCAACAAAAGTTCCTGGCAACAGTTTGAGATCAGAAATTCAAGATTTATCAATCATGCACGAAACAGTAAGAATTGATGACTAAGAAGAGTGCTGATCACTGCGCTCATCAATGGGTGTCCATTCATGACTCACTTTTAAATAAAAGACAAGCAATGATATAGAACAACCTTGTAAACGTTTATAAAAAATACGAACGCCTCCGGATGCACATACTGTACAGGTGCAAGGAAAATCCACTTAAGTAACATATACATGTTTTGAAGTCAAAGCCATTGAAGAAAGAAGTATCTCAAGACATCATTCCGCGCTACCATTCCATTCATTGACAATATACTGTACGTTTGAAATGTTACACTAGCCTTACAATGCTCGGAGAACACTATCTTGTATCAATTTTGAGATTTGTCATGCACAGAGAATTAAAAATATCTTACCGAATTTTCTGATCTTGAGTATTTCGTATTATCATTAAGATCCACAGCTTGATTCTTAGAGACATTGCAACCCATTATTTGCAGGCCCGATGTCTGCTCGTCGTCCGCTCTTCGCAATGTGTACTTCTGTGCCATATCATCCACAGAATTCACTCAACACACACTATCTGACCAACAATATATACTTCCACACCGCTGAAAACTTTTAAGTGACGCACGTACTAAAACCCAACAAAAGTTCCTGGCAACAGTTTGAGATCAGAAATTCAAGATTTATCAATCATGCACGAAACAGTAAAAATTGATGACTAAGAAGAGTGCAGATCACTGCGCTCATCACTGGGTGTCCATTCATGACTCACTTTTAAATAAAAGACAAGCAATGATATAGAACAACCTTGTAAACGTTTTTAAACAATACGAACGTCTCCGGATGCACATACTGTACAGGTGCAAGGAAAATCCACTTAAGTAACATATACATGTTTTAAAGTCAAAGCCATTGAAGAAAGAAGTATCTCAAGACATCATTGCGATGGTAAGGTAAGTAACTGTTATATGACATGCAAACTTTACAATGTGATCGGAATGTTACGAGCCTCTTGTGATAGAACATAGTTAAAACTCTAAACAGTACGTGTCTCTTAATTTTTATAGAAAATCCCAGTTGCAGATACCGTCATGGAATTGTCTGGGCTGTCCGCATTTAGCATACTTGACCAAGTTGGGATGATTAAGGATAATATAGACTCGCGCACTATTGTATAGAGCTAGTAGTCTGGGTCCCCCCAACTAGGATAGCTCCCAGTTATCACCCAGACTGCGGACAGCAGGAACAATTGATAAGTACCAGCATGAAATGGTGTACACATACCAACAGAACAGAGACAACCGAGCAAAAGGCTTGAACAACAATGAACAAAGAATGGAAACACGGATTTGAATGAGAAAATAACTTGTGCGTTTGCTCCGCTAGTCGGTTTGCGGTTGGTACGTGCATTTACGTGCTCTATTTTAGACCTAAGTCGTTGTCTGCGCTTTTGAGCCATTGTGTCTTGTGCTAGCTCAGTATAGCGTCTAAGTCATGACCCTACTGACGAACACTGAAAACGAATTTATTCCCAGCGTCATTTTCATTCTTCCAGTTATCTATCCTTCAGTTTTTGATGAACACCCACACTGCTGTTGTTTTATGCCACCACATTGTTAGAAAGCTTTGGTCCTAATTATAGAGATGAGGTTCTCAGGGGAAATGAAAATCATTGGAAATAAGGCATTATAAAGGTAAAGTAAGATGGCAATTCGTTTCTAATTTCGCTTTCGAAAAAATCACCTACTTATTGCATTTTCCCGTATATCTCGTCGTATATATCGCTCTCTTAATTTCATGTCCTGCTTCCCACAATCCCCGGTCCCTTCCGAAGATGAGCAACTGAACATGTTTCATTCACGATTCTGGCTATGCCGCTTGTCCTCTCGATGTTAATCTCAGATGAGTAAAGTGGAACTGGAATAATCAATAAAACCTGCAGTTCGAGTTCATCTGGGAGAAAAATACAGTACTGTACTGTACTAACGCCATGAAAACTGCGATGATGAATACTATGCACCCTCGTGGTGGCTGCGTTGATGAATTAAGAAAACTGTTCACAGGAGATACTCACATATAGCAGTCCTGAAGACGTTTCTCGAGATACGCGTACCGCGGTGTAAATAAGTAATAGTACAAAGGGCACCGCTCAATTAAGTCACATTCAACAGATCGGCTCCTTCCTATAGAACCATATGGTTCCCAAATGAATTAACTTCGGGGTAAACGGAAACGTTGCATCAGCCACGTGTGGTGATCCGCTGAATATGTTTTAACACCCTAGGTCTGAAAAATGGCGCGCACCAGTTACTGCGCAGCGTGCGTATGTATGCCGGTTACTATACTATACGGCAGGGGTGCCCAAGATACGGCCCGCGGGCCAGATCTGGCCCGCAGAGGCCTTCAAACTGTCCCGCGGACCATCCCACCAAATTTGCCTTAGCTTAAGATATATTTAGCAAAATTAAAAAAGTATTCCTTTTTCCAAATTCAAATTTTTATGATTTATTCTCAATATTTTTTCAAAGAAACTCCAACAATTTGTTTCCTTAACGCTTGCAGTTTACATAAAAAATACAGGAATAAGTTAGTGATTCACTGTATTTCTGGAAGCTTCCAGAACTTTTAGTTTCAGTGTGCACTTTAAGTGGCACACTCCCTCCTTCCATGCTTTCAACTGGCACATGCATGCAGCTTTCTGAAGCAACCGTTCTCACTTTCAGGAACTGGTACAAAAGTGATGCACAATTCATTTATTTTAGTGATTTTTAAAAAAAATTAAGTGAGATCACAATGAATTGTACTTAGTATTACATATTTGTGATGAGCTGAGTACAGTAGTATGCTGTTAGTTCATAATTTTCAGGAACATGTGATTTTGTGCTAGGAAAATATGGGGCAAGGGTAGCAAAAAATTCACTTGAAAAAGAAAAGCGTGCATTGAATTGCAGCTTTTCCTCCAGAGAAAAAATTGAAAATGGAATTTTTCTTTTGCAAAAACATGCACACTATTAATAGGGTTTTAGCACCATCAGATAAATGGAATATGCTGAGGGATTTAAGAGTTAACAGTGATCTTCTGGTCAAATAATATTTGAATGAGACAATTTATCATTCAACAAAAGTTTGAATAATAAATGCCTGAAAGGAGTGACACACCTAAGATTGTCAGTGCGCTTAAGAGTAGCTAATGAAGAATGATCAAACAAATATTTCTTCACAATCTTCAATGGCAAAATTCTTTGCCTGGTTTGTCTTGAAAAAAATTTCAGTTTCCAAGGAATGCTATCTTTTCAGGCATTTCAGATCCAAACACAAAAAAATTTAGCAAGATGAATTACTCTGAGAAATTTCCAAGCTTGCTTAAAAAATAAAAGGAACTTGTTGACTTTTGTTAACTTCAAAGAATTCTAAAATTTGGAAAAATGTTAGAGGAGTTAATTTATTTTCAGTATTGTGGCCCTCAGAAGAAGGCTTGTTTCTCAATGTGGCCCTTGACCACTTTTGAGTTGGGCACCACTGCTATACGGCATACGCACTACACTCTCAACCCTCTTTAAAGAGTTCCCATTTTATTCCTGCCAAAATTTCCTTTGGATCGGATTAACCTCCTAACCTTGAAGGGATTTGGAAACTTGGAAGTACTGTAATCCTAATTCAGGGATGGGTGTCCCATCTCATGAGAGCCGAACTCTTTGCCCTCCCCTCTGTGTCAGAGGGTCATATCATGTTGGTAGTTTCGATAGAAAAGACCGACGCAGGCGTACTACTCACTGAAGTTCTTATCCTTTGAGTTGACGCCCCAGAGACCGGACAGTTACCTCTGGGCGTGTTCAACTCAAGAATTCAACAGGGGAATTTATATTTTGAAGCACATAATATTGATGGAATATACCTTTAAACTACTGGGGAGCACTCTTGTCAATTTCAACTCAACTCATAAACCCTGATTGTTGAACCCCATTCAAATTGAATTCCCTACTCTGTGAAATAATTTGCGGTTTCATTCCATTAATTTGTGCGTCAAAATATGAACCCACTTGTTGAATTCAATTTAACTTGTGTGGGCCTCAAACCCGGCAGAACTCAAGGGATAAAACTTCAGTGAGTAGTACGTGACGTTATCTTCTCTCTCACACTAACGTACATGAACCTCACTGAGTCTCCCCTACTACTGGTCCCCGTTTTTTAAGCCGAGGAAGACTACTCTTGATATTGGAATCCATCACTGGCCGTAGTTCCACACAGAAAGAATCTTGAGACAAATTACTGTTCCGTACTCACATATTTTTTATATTACTGTATTCAAAAGAAAGCCTATATGCTGCTGGGTCTGACTCCCTTGAGCGGAATGTGTGTGAAATGCATTTACATTTTTTTCAAGAAAGGGCGAATGTCTCGGAGTTCCATTCCAGGATAAATTCTTCAACTCATTCAAAAATTGCCATCTATTCTTTGGACATTTAACGTGAAGATATCCAAGATGCACACTCACGACTCTTAGCATAGAAGGTTAGTTAATCGTAAAACTCTTTAAGAAGACAAAGACTTTGTCTGATCGTTACCCAAGAAGTTAAAACTTTTACGAAAACCTACAGCAGTAAATTGCATGGCATATAGTTATTACGAATTTCTGAAGATCTCTGCTGTATTTCAGAAAACACATAAAATCTTTGAAGTTAGAACACACGGAACGGGAAAAAAATCTTTCATGATCAGCTCATCATGGAATTTCAGATACTGTACAGGCAGACGAACAAGTACAGCAACCATCCAGCATGCAGAAGGTGAGATAGAGATGCATAAATCATCAGTTTATTTGCATATTTTCTCAAATGAAACCGACAAATTCCATTTTCTAACGTGATTTGCGGTCCTTCAATATCTCATAAACTGGAAATCAAGATGATCATGTTTCTTATTCCATTCGAATAATAATTCAATTCGAATAATAATTCGAATTTTAAATCCTCACTGCGATTCGATATTGGTCAACGTACCAAGCATGTACTTTATATACTTGCGTGCATATTTATTTCATGTGGCATTAAAATTTAAACGCCGCAACTTATAAAGGTGTCATCAAAAATTGCACCGGGGAGCTGACTTGTTGATTTTTTTCCATCCAAGTTTCCAGCAACAACATACTGTACGTATTTTATTCGGGTTTTCAGTAATCCATATACTGTATGCTTGTGAGGATGCTTATTGCGGGACTTCCCAATATGCAATGATGATACTCACAAGTTTTGATGTATAATCATCTCGCATGATCAGTCACAGACTCACAGCATGCTGCGTCATCGTTGATGAATCCGCAACCGAAAAATTGCGCCGCCCGGAAATCCTTTGATGTGTTTGATGGACACATGTATTATACATCTAGCCTACGTTTTCCACATTTCAAGAAGCGGAAGGAAAAAATGCATCGGCTCTTGACCCATAAAACCTAGCTAACAAGTGACATGGCGTTTGAGATCAGGTCCAGATTCCCGAAAGGAAACATCAATTCGAATAACGTGCATTCCTAGCATCCTCGGCAAAAATCCCGTGGTGAATAGAAGTACAGTATGTAGGAAGCAGCATATCCTTGAAATAAATTCTTGCCATAACCAAAAAAATATTCACGCTTGATAACGCGCATTAATATTTGCACGGTCTTTCGCACTTCATATATTAAAACCCGACGAAAGCACAAAGCAGTTAGAGCGAAGGTACGAAGATTTTTCGTCGGAATCAGGGCAATTGCGAGAATTTTCCTCGGCGAGTTACTCAATCGTTGTGTTCGAAAATTTCTTCTCCTGGCGTGTGAGTGAAGTGTTTCCTTCACTCAATTCCCGCAGTTATTCGACGACTTCGACAGTCTTGAAGGTCAGTGTATGAAAATGTATTTTCATTTCCTGATCCTTCCAATATAAAATGTTGATGGACGATTTGCGGACAATATCTTTCGCCTCCTTTCAAGAAAAACTAGATCGAAAATGACGCGTAGGGTTCGATTAGATTTGACATACTGTAACTAACAGACTTGATTAACTCCCAAATTTAATCTTGGAGGTGTGCAGAGTAAACATTCTCAGCTGCAAGTCCTGTTTTTCTTAATGAGTAACGATTTCCGTGGGTCATCCCGAGATCGAGTACCGACAGAGAAATATACTGAAGAGGGAAAAGATTGGACGCGCAAAAATAATAAGTTACATTATACTTTCAAGGCGATTCCTTTTTCTGAGAGTTGAAATTTTTTATGAAGGAGGAAAGAAAATGAGGCTGACGTCAGCATGGCTCCAAGCGGCGGCGAAGAAAACGCACAAATCCTTCACGTCCATTCACCATCACTTCGAGGTTAGTTCCCTGACTTCCTTTGCACTTCGGCACGTAACGAGACTGAATCGGCAACGCTATGGGACATGTGTATAGGCTTCGTCCACGAGCGATCGTATTTGTTATATTTCCATGCGGTAGGTGTGACACCTTCTTCAATGCTTCGAATAACTGTCGCACCGAAGGCCACGAGGTGACATCCAGGCTTGTAACGGAATATTTTTCAACGTGACACAGATGTCACTTCTGACCACATGCCATACATTCCAATGGTACCCCCATGACATGCAATTTTGGTTGATATTTTGCAATTCATTCCTTCCCGTTCAACTCATTGAAAATATTTACGAAGTGATATGTGCCTAGAGCAGCAAGTCGTCGACCGCAGGAGAAACATAAAATGCTGCTTATATAATTCAGAAATTACATGAAATGATTCACTATAATCAGCTTATTCTATGTACGCCCACTTAAACTGAGGAGAACTAAACTGAAATGCAAATTGTTGCTTCAATTACTTGAAATTGGTTAATTTACAAGCAGAGTATCTTCCGGAACCATGCTGTGAACATGTAGATGCTCAGCTCCTCCGTATAATATAGGTGTAATTTCCTAAATTTGCATATACAGTACATATATGCTGTGACCGGACATTCATATCTGGTCATTTATATAGTTAACGTTTCGAGTGCAGCACATCCGACTAGATAATCCTTTTACGTGGATGAGACCATTAGTTTCATTACCGTCTACAGTCATATTGAACGGCAGAACGTACGGAAAAGAATGAAATCTCGGAATCATTTCGAAGTTGATAGCAAGTAACGATACTGTACCATCATTTACCATGCCTCACATTCATGATTCGCATGAGCATTTACGCTTGGATCACTTCGTCCGTAATCACAGAAAAACCATTTGTGTGAAGAGAAGTAGCAGATCTTTATTGTGAGATAATATTGCATAGGAGGAAGACTGGAACCAAGAAATCCAGTCAATTTAATAAATTACTGAACTTACTGCACATATTACAAAATATGTGAAGCTACATGTGCTGTAGAATTTCCCACTCCCAAATGTCACATATTTCAGTTCATTTGGATGAAAAATCCACAGTATTCATAAATTCCCGTGTGACGCGCTGTCATACCTGTTAAAAAAAATGATCCTGAGTAATTTGTTGCTTAGGATGCCACCACCTCAATTCGTTGCCTCCTCATCCTGTTTCGAAGAATGTATTAAGATAAAGCACGCAACTCATAACAGAACGCTTTAGAGGTATCAAACACAACAATCGCCTCAACTCCAATAACAAAATCAAAATATAGCATCAAATATGCGACATATTTTATTTGGTACTTTAGGTACGGTATTCCGCAAAGCTCAATTTCACGAGACTATATCGTCGTTAAGATCATAATGAATCATTTCTCAAGCTCCACACGATTTCCTCTTCGACCGCGCAGTGGAATCGCACAACAAATTTTCCCTCGACATGTAGTATAAAGCATTTCTGCAGAATATCATACACATCTGCCTTGTGGAAGCGAATCCGTAGTCCTATAGCATGGAATATTAAAAAAAAAAACCCTGTCAAATACATCGAGTAGGCTTCATTATAAATAACTCACTATCGTATACCACGCAATTTGCGATGGAAGATTTGGTGAAATTCATCGTCTCACTTCGAACTGTACGAATTCGAGTGGAAATTTCATCCATTCGAATTCCGATCATAAAAGAAGTACGCCGGAAAAGGCCTTTCCAAAATAGAGCTGTGAGGAAACTGCGAAGGACGACAATAGGGTAACGAGCACTTTATATGCAACTCAAAAGATCTGAAAGGATTGCACTGGCACAGACACTTTTGATCCGGTAGCAAATTAGGTTTGGCTTCGGGAAAGTCACCGATCACGATCAACGTTTCAGCAGGGCAATTTCGGATGACATCAATCGAATTTTGATTAATTCCACGCAGTTCAAGTTCTCACTATAAAATATTGAGCAACGATCTGCAGAAATATATTAAATCGTTGCTTATGAAAAGAAACGCGGGACTAATCCGGCGTTGGACGAACTTATCGAGAACAAATGAAAGTGAAAACGGAACGACGTTGTCACTTAGCTCCGCCACAAATTTATGGAAAACCTGTTACACTCGTTCTACTTCACTAAAAACCGCTACTCATCTAACTATCGATTTTTACCAAGGCTAGAAATAAGTTTCACTGGAAGACTTACGATTCACTGCATCGAAATGAGCTCAAACGATCACCTCCACGACATATAAACTCACCTATACTAGAAGAATTCTATAGGTACAGCAGAAGAAATGTCTCAGTATCTCGCTAATGAATATCAGCACTATGTTTCCTACCTGAAAACTCGTGACACTAAAAAGGGGCGTTTGTTCACGTAAAGTGAGGCATGGGCATTGTAAATGGTTGCCACAACCAAGTAACGATAAAGTTCCTGTAGCTGCGGACTTTTCACAACGTACGATAGTTCTGTGCAGTAAGAGTCTTCAAATCTGAATCGAGGGACAAAGAAATCTTCAAATTTAATGAGATATTCCGCCTTCAATCAGTATACAGACTGAAGTATCTCGACTTATACGTACAGTAATGATCTCACGGGAATTGATAGCACAATGAAAAAAGCTGAACTGAACGTTGGCGACACCCACGTATGAACACATTCAGACGTGCGTAGAGATTTTTTGGGAATAAATTGTACTCTTTTTCCTTCACCTGCCGTACCTCACTCACAGTGAACAAGCTCTTATCAGAAACGCGCAGTATACCCGACACTCACGAAAGATACAACGAAAAACGCTCGTAGCTGCACAACAAATAATTATTTTCATCTGGAGTCAAGGCGACTGCAACATGTTTGATACCAGTAACGATAAGGAGTAAGAGATGCGATGATTACACTACAAGATGTCAAGAGTCCAACACCCGCGAATTCCTGGCGGCGGTAGCATCCATTTGTCCCAACTTCTTACATCCGGGTTTACTCTGTAGTCGACCAAATAGTCATACCGTACTGTATACCCAACGTACGAATGGTTTCCTGTAGGAAAGAGAGACACACACAAAAACACACACTCGGGCTACGGATACTGCAGAAGTGGAACGATGTGTGAACTTATATTGCTTATCACAGTGATAAATTGTTCATGAATTGGCATAAAAGGTGCAGTGCATTGCTTTCCGTTTCGAAACTTGCCAATCGCTCTCTTTCCTCCTAACAATTTGCTGAGAAAAAAATTGCCGAAACGAGATCCGATCGCTGAAGCATCACAGAAACGACAGGGCTTCCAATGAGATCGTTTTCACGCAAAATTTCGATAGGGACTTCCGGAAACCGCAGCAAACATAGCTAAACTACCGCCTCATGAGATCGATCTACTTTTTAACACTCTTTCAAAGAATACTTTTTGAGACCTGAAAGGTGATTCAGTTTCAAAAGGTTCTGAGAAAGCTGGAAAACATGCGCACCTCATTAACCTACCTCAAGGAGTTCTTCTCCATCAGATAACAACTAGATTTGGGACCTAGTACACACAAAATCTGCGTAACTGGATAACTCAAACCAACATCAGCATTTGTTTCTTCATAGCTGCATTTAAGTTTCTTCGTTTATTCTTATATCACCTTGAATAATGTAACCCTTCTTTTTCATCAACAGTAAATTGACGGAAGTGACGAGAAGTACTGTATGTTGGGAAGTCTGGAGAAAAATCGACTTGAGAACGGATCTATACGAGTCGTACCGTACATCTCGGTTAATGATATACAAACGTATGAAACAATTGTCTCTCGAAAAATGGAAATGACACAGATATTTCCCAACTTCAGTTAGCGGGGTTTTCAAGATATGTTGGGAGTTCGGATAACCAAGATTCTACTGCATACTAGCGCGAATGAGTTCCAGCTTTCTGACAGGAAACATAGTTCACCTTCCAGAGTCTCCTTGTAAAGGTAACCAATTTGTACGTATACCTATTTTACACGCAGAAGGTGAAATGACAATATAAAACTGAGCAGCTTCAACGATTATCAACGACAGTCGTGTCCAACTGTGGAAATGCGATTACAACAATACACGTAAGTCCAAAAAGGTCACTCCAATAACATGGTTCCTCTCGAGACTACTTCCAGTTGGATGTCCAAACGCCTCAGAAAGGATAGATAAGGTGTCAGGAGAAAACTGTGAAGAGAAAAGCAGTGTGAAGCGACTACCGTATCATCCTGGACTATATAAGCTCATGTATAGCGGCTGGTTCATCACAATTCCGTCTGGGCAAACTAGAACTACTCGAACAAATAGTGTATGTCACACAATTCGTAATTACGGGTCAAGAAGGAGAAGCTAGTCGTCATTACCGTATACCCAAATCGCCTAAAAGAGAGTTCAACCAATAAGCTGTTATTCCTAGAACAACACAGTTTTTCGCTAACAGCCGCAGCTTCGTACGCTGCCGATGTGCCACTTACGCACGATCCCTATGATAGAGGCCCAATATAATAAAACCAACGGAAGGGAAAACCAACAAAGGAAACATGGATCCAAGTGCCTACAGAAATGGTTAACAGCGACTCTTCTCGCTTGGCAACCCCAGCAAGGATGACGAACGCTACTCAATCAACGCTAGACCCGAGATATTCTCGGGGCGGGTGTTTTGAGGCGAGAAGAGCCGTTGAGAGACGTATACACGGTAGACAAAAAGTAAAAAACCAACCATCACTACAGTATTCGCCAAAAGTGCAGTTTCTTTCGTTCTCTCGCTGCCGAACAGACCACGCATACTGAACTTTATACACCATTCACCGAGGTATATGGAAAAAAAGGAACGGAAAACTCGGTCTACGACACACCCCCGCCGTGCTTTGTCCCGCGAGGAGGGATAACCGGGCGCAACACTTGCTTTTCAAGCCAAAAGGGAGGCAAAAGAAGGCCTTATACAAACTCGATCGTCTGAACACCCGCCATCATCCACTCCACACTCGCAGCTCACAACTCGGACACAAGCGCGGGGGCGTACGTGTTATCCATCAAGTCAACAAACAACACTGTTCCGCCGAGCGGAACGGTTTCTTTTTTTTTACGTATACAAGCCTGCCAAGGAACCATACCAACAACGGCCTCGTACACAAACGGGTGTTGCACACTTCCACTAGACAACCGACCGTTAGAACCTTTTTCTCAGCAAAGAGAGCAAGAGGAACGAATTCAAAAATACCTAGCGAAGACCACAAACATACTGTGAGTAAGACGCAAGTGGGGAGGCTGCACAGGGTACAAGGAAGAAGATGCGGTGCAAGTTAATTTCATCAGCTATCTACCGTATTCACGCAAACATAAGACTCAACTTCCCTCAATTTACACACCTGTATACTCCACACTTTAAATCTAGATAAAAGTTATTCATACAGTAGCAGCAATATCATGGGGAGATCAGGATACTGTATTCGGGATCCTTGACATTTTCTCATCTTCAACCAACTCATGAAGGGGAGTAAAATTCTAAAAGCAAGAACGGATACATGCCAATGAGTTTCTTTTTCATAACTAATTTGCTTCATTTTTTCACAAAGTCCGTGACAATAAATCGAAAATTAAAGCCTTCATTCCAATTCTTCGTTGCCATGCAGTTTTCAAGAAATACTGACATTTAAAAATAGTTGTGACACTCATTCTCGCTTCACGAATAGTTTCCGGCATGAGGATCATCAAAGGCAGTGTGTTTCAGATTCAATATACGGTACAGTGAACTCATTTTAAAGACTCGTTTTCGAAGTATTTAGCGTCTTACATTCACGTAAATACGGCATTTCAACCCCGCACTCGAGCTCCGATGGAAACGAGCGGGTGTCGTGGCCAATATAACGATAAGCCAGTCACCCTCCTCCTCACTCTTCACCAAGACTCTCCAGCACTAAACAGTGTCATCTGTCGAGCAAAGCAGGAAGATCTGTGAATAAGTGAAGAGAAGCGTGCGGCACAAAGTAAACTAGTCTGCGTCGAGCACTGCTAAATTCAACTCGCTACTCGGGTTAATTCAAAAAAAGCGCACGGATGTAAAACATTCAACAACGTGAACCCGGCCAAAAAAACGTCGAATCTAACTGCCCACGCCGTCGTGTTTCCGTGTCCCAGGCGAAGTCACTCGATATGGAAGCCTCTCCTGTTCAAAATTTATATTTTCTTGTAGATCCCTTTTTAAAAAATTCCGCGCCCCGAAAAAATCATCACGTTCGTCTCCCGAGACGATAGACAGGGCTGGGAAAATAAATCGCTGCGAGCGGGGAGACAGACGCTTATTGCTTCTTGGGGTCGTACCGGTGAACTCTAACCGAGTCTCTCGAAGAAAACATAAGAAGAACGAATCCTCCTTTTCCACAAGTGAACACTGGCCGCGCCTTCCATTCAGAAAAACTTTTTCCGTCATCCATTCACGATCGGCATAAAGCCCACCATCATCAGAGACAACCACCATATAAAAAAACGTCCAAGCAATACTGCTGTCACTTTGCTTCGTTACGATTCGCCGGAGGTCCGGGAGCGGGAAAAATGCCTCGAAAAAACGCGAAACTAATTCCAACTAAAAATTTAATACGATGCTCTTTCTCTCTTCCTCACTAATACCCCGCCGACGGTCTCCAGACTCCCAAAAAGATTCATCCGCAACTCCGATTCAAGTTTCTACAACCGCAGGAAAATTTCCTAACTACGCAGTCCAAAGTTTCTAAATTCAAACGGAATTGCGGATGATTCAAAAAAAAAAGGGAGCGAGAAACGCGGAATCGGCGGGTTCGAAGAAAAAGAACTACGATAATACTGCGTCACGATTCGCCCTCACGTCCGTCGAAAAGCTCTGGCCCCAACGAACGAATTCATGAAGCTTTTAAAGCCAACGATTTGGTTCTTTGCTTTTCATCGGGCACGAGAGCCGCACACTACTAAATTTCTCGAAATTGAGAAAAAAATGTTTTCGCGGGAAAACGAACGCTAGAAAAAAATGCATGCCTTTAGAACTAATACTGATTCGAAAAAACCGAAAACTTACAACCTACAGTTTTCGCCCTAATTAAGCACTTCGATTTCCGGAAGTAGACGCTTCTTCTCGCTGGACGGGCAAACAAACACTAAATAAAAAAAAGCATCCAGTTGCGGTTCAAGCAGTCAGTGGTTCTTCGCTGCGCCGATTAGTATCACACGTAGCAGTTGAGGAAGATATCGATGCTCGCGACAATCCTTTTTTTGTTTTAAGCAATACTAAAAATCGTTACGGGATTAACGACGGTATTGTCCCACCTGACCTGCTCATTTCTGCGAGATCAAATCGCGCATCCAACCTGCCGAAACCTCGTCTTTGCCCCGATCACAACTCAGAAAACTCGGAACCGTCGACTAGATCCAAGGTCGGGGAGCAACACAAAAAGAAAAAATCAACGAAAAAGAGAAAAACGGAAGAAAACGCTTTTCCGTCGCTCTACGAAGCCAAAAAAGAAACGGAATGAACGAGCGCGAGAGGAGAAGCACGAAAACTATAGAAGCGAAATGAGAATAGAAAAATATAGGCAATGATTAAACGGGTAAAGGTCATCGAGGTGTTTTAAGCGGCCTCGAAAACAATTCACACAAGTTCGCATTTTTTCCGAAGTTCAAATTTCTTGAGATCAATTGGTTTCTTTCTCGCAACATAGAAACAAAGTAGAACGGAAAGACCTGCGCCACTCGGTTGGCTAAATTTCCAAGGTCATTGTGAAATGTGCGAACTCGGGGGGTCGTGGCAATTTCGTCAACGAAATGTCAAAACATTTGTAGGAAAGAAAACGAAGTTACGCTCTTTAAGGGTTCGTAGTTACACGCCAAAATGCACGTCACGGAAATTTCCGAATTTTTTCTTTGTTTTTCCGGGAACCAAGTTCCTGGTCACTTCAAAAGATTTAGCGACAAAAATTTTCCAGTCCGAATAGTCAACAACTCCCACTCGTCGAAACCACATACACACTCATCCTTTCACACACTTGCTTCTTGCCTCCAAAATCCGGGGAGGATCGCGGGAATGAGAACCCGCGTAGGTTTTCTTCTTGTTTTTTTTTGTTTTTTTGTTATCCCCCAGCGGGTTCTAGGCAGCGTACATAGCCGGCAGTCCCATTGCGCTCCAGTCCAGCCCCTGGAAAGCAGACATGTCCACAGGTGTGGGAAGGGCGTAGTTCTGGTAGCCAGCGGCGGCGGCTGCAGCGGCGGCCGCCCCTGCGGAATTCGCACCGGCACCTTGTTGTTGGTGGTTGGCCGCCGCCGCAGCCGCGAGGGCAGCTGCGGCTGCGGCTTGATTGCTCAGCGTCGGATAGGGCGCGTACCTTCCCGTAAATATCCACAATTAACATCACACAAAACAGGCACAAAAAGAAAAAGTAAAACAGAACTAGTCAATTCGATTTTTTTGATTCTTCCTCGTTGACGCTGCCCCGCGTTAATTTCGAATATCATGTGCCCATCGGCCAACCCGAAATTCCGAAAATACTGTGGGTCAATATAAATTTTCTTCAATGGGTTTGAAGAAGTGCAACTCATGTTAAGAAATTGTTTAAGTGTTTCTTCAGAGGCTTTAACTAAAGTGATGAAAATAATGAACTTCAACAATTAGAGTCGGACTCTCTCCACAACGAAAATCAAGGGATGAGAAAAGATTCGTCGTAAGAATTTGGGTAATACTGTACCATGGGTAACGAACCCTATATTGCTTTCCAACAATTCGATTTTCCGTTTATAAATAAGTCAAATAAAATCAAGAACTCAAACCATCGCTATGACCTAGAAAAAGCTCACACTGAAAGGTGTTGAATTGGCACCCGTGACAGACAGTGGCAATAGTTTTGTAACATACAACAAGCCAATTCATACCATGTTTTCTTCACTTATGAGAATCGTGACTGACCATTCAAACTACAGTAATTTTAATTGCTTCCAGTTGACCGGAGAATGTAATGATGTAAACACCTACGCAACACAACCTTCATCAAAATTTGACTTAACTGAAATCTATTCCTGCGGGGTTTTCTTTTCGTGAACTGGTTGTTCTGCTGAGTCCAATTCTTCACAGGTTTCCATTAGAAACTAATCAATCTGTTCTTGACAAGAAAAATGGTTTTTACCCATATCGATTTAACCTAGAATAATTAACAGAAAATTTACTCTAAGCATTGTAAAACATAGCCAAGGAGTAAGTTTACGATGAGTTGGATGTCTTAAGAGTGTTGAGAAGAATGAACTTGTCTCCACCTTCTGTCTAAAAATTACAGTACAATGCATCTGAATCTAACTCACTGCCACTACCTATTGGGAGAAGGTAAGACAAAATAGATGTAGTTGCAGTGTGATATAAAGTCATCAAATTTGGGTTCGACACTCATGTCAAACTTTTTACTACTCAATAGTGAGTTTGATTGAGTTTAGTGCTTCAGAATTACTAGGGTAACTTCAAAGTTGGCCAAAAAGCAAAAGTATAAAAAAACATTGCTTGCTAACAGTCGGCAATGACTGGAACAGCGGTTAGAGACCATTGATATCTTGAAAATAGTGCGCGGCAGCTCATATAACAAGGAAGAACCAAGCATCTCAAAATATCGGACGGAAATTTATCAAAGCAAATGCATTTGAAAGGGACGAGAAAGCGGATGCGGTTTCCGGAAATAAACCTGTAGGCGGATGTGGCTCCTTGGTACGCGAGCACCTTGCCGTACGTAGACGGCGCGTTGATCCCGGCAGTCAGCTGGCCCGATGTTACCACTGGTGAAGACCCGGCTCCCGCTGTCTGGGGCGCCGACTGTAAGAGAGTCGGCCCCCCGGCCTGGTTTGAAGAGAACCCATCGTACAACTACTTTAAATAAGCAACCCCGTTCACAGCCAACGTAGATAAGGATTCAAAAAGAAAAGCTCGTCACATCAACCGCCTCATGCACTATACGTCGTGCTTATTAATTCATCCATCGTCTACACGTCATTAGTCATCACGCTTTCTTCTCCGCGAACACTTACCCAAAATTAACTCTCATCAGTCATCTTTCTTCATTCTACTCTATACTCTATAGGGCTGCACTTGACCAGCGCAGACAACGTTCATGCAGCATCTAATAGTTCTAAACTGCTATTTCATTTACAACTAAAATTGTGCAGTTTCAATTCAATGACTCAATTTTATGCCTCAACGTAGAACAACAGATTCACTCATAACAATAAGCGTAAACAATTCAAAACCGCTTCATTACAACCGCATTACACGACCAATCCTAGGTGCAATGAGTATTCATGCGTTGAATTTAGAAAAAGGGGGTAGAACTTATTTTAATCCAACTTCGACGCCACTCAATTCACGTATTGCACCTGAAAACAACTCAATTCGATTCGAGAAAATTTATCACAGCAATTTAAATGAAAATCGTCCCACGTAATTTTTAAAAACATGAAAATCTCGTTACAACACATTTTGCAGGACAGGAACCTTCTTTCGAGGGCCGACAGAGAGCTCATCAAGGATATGTTGAAACAATTCCATTAAAACAAACTTCCTGATTCCAGTATTACAAACATTTTGAGGAACGTTTGAATAGATTTTACAGATATAAATTTCCTGACCAAGTCTAAAATTTGTGATACCAAATGTGATCGAATGGCTTTTGTAGCATAAATGGAACCTGTAAGCGATGACAAACATGCTTCCACACATCATCCTCCCAGTATGAAAAGATTAGTGCAACTGATGACATGCATGATTGAAACTGAATTTTGCTTTCGAATCATAGCTCATTGAAAAAAATAAAAAATTGAGATTTAATAGATAATAGGTAAGGTATGCTTTGACAATTTTTTTCCAGTCCATAATTTCGAAAATCTTGTTACAAATTATTCAGCTTAACGCACTTCTCCAAAGTTTGTTGTAACGAGATTTTACCGTATTGAGCCATATTGAGGGAGTTCAAAGATTCGTAGTTGCGTTTCAGGGTTTTTGGAAATAGGATCGGTCGGGTAAGGCGACAGCACGAAAACAAAACAAATGCATGAACAAGAAAAAACAAAAACAACGGAACCAGCAGCACACGTTTGTGGGGTCGGTCTAACGTGTGTAAAACGTCATGGCGGGATAGTAAGATAGGGAAGCACTGAGCTGAACCTGGAATAGCGCGGAAGCAGGCGGGCCAGCGAGCTGCATCCCGGCGCCGCCAAAAGCGGCCGGCACGAGACTGCTGACGGCGGCTGCTTGCTGCGCCGCCAACTGGCAACGCTGTCTGGCCAGGAGATAGGCAAAGCTCGGCTGCTGGGCAGCTGCGGCGGCGGCGGCTGCAGCAGCAGTGGCTGCGGCGGCGACGGCTTCCCGCGGAAGGGCCTTCTTGCACTCGACCTTCTTGGCCTTGATGACGTGAAAGTGGATGTCGCAGATGCGGTCGACGGCCGTTTCCGACGCCATCGTGACGAAGCCGAACCCGCGATGTCTCTTCGTCTGGTTGTCCATCAACAACACTGCTTCTTCCACCTGTAAAAAACATTTTCACACACATCAAGCAAGACAATATCAATCGATCAATGCATCATCAAACGAAGACCGACGCGTTTAAACGTCAACACGTCCGTACAACAGCATCAATATATTATGAAATGCAAGTAATGCGATCATTTCACGCATTTATACCTCTAAGGATAAAATAGAAACTTAATTTCGGGTGGATTTTTAGTATCCCCCAAATCTTCGTTTCTATATGGAAGCTTAAGGCTTCTAAAAGCGGCCATATAAAAAAGTTTCAAGTCTTAGGTGCATGGCATGGTTAGATTGCCTAAAATTAAGTGGGGGCCCAACTCGAGGACGATTTGACTCAGGGACACTCACAAATTTGCTATTTCAAAATTTGTATACCTCAGAATGGAACTACTGTATTGATAATCACAAAAACTGAAAATAATCTTATGAATTTACTCGTAATTCAGTCGAAAACAGGATTATTTGTCTATTTTCTCAGTTTTTCTTCATCATGTGGTTAAATTACGGTTAGAATTGGGCTTGTATTAATTTTCGGCTACTTATGTCAAAAGATCAGGTTTTCTTACCCTTTCATTTCTCTGTATCTTCTAGTCGAGAAAGAGCATTTTTTCAATTTTTTGTAGGACTTTTCTCCCAAATTGTTTGAGAATCAATTGAATAAGTTACCATTGAAGTCGTAAAAAAAGTGATCCGACATACGACATTCCAAGAAAAAGGAGATTTTCAAGCACCAAACACGTCCACATCTCGGGGCCAAATTGTAATTTTTCAAGCACATGAATTGCGCAAGACAAGGATGCGTAAAAAAAGCTACGAACCGCCCCAAACTGGGTGAAGTATTGCTTGACTTCCTCGGCGGCGGTCTCCTGACTCAAGCCGCCCACAAATATTTTCTTGGTCTTGAGAGTGCCGTTGGCGGCTGCAGCCACCGTAGACGCGGCCTGGTGCGGCACTCCGGCGTCGGGAAATCCATTTACGTTCGAAGACGACTTCTTGGCGGCATTTCGGGGCGTCGCATGCTTCGGGTCAATCTTCTTCCCGTCTAACATGTGGTGCGTCACCTGCAGCACCTTGTCCACGCTGTGGGCGTCCTGGAACGTGATGAACCCGAACCCGCGGCTCCGCTGTTGGTTTTGTCCCCGAATAAAAAAAAAAGCAAAACTCTAGTCAAACAAACTGTTTCCGGTTGTCGCTCAAAGAGAGAGAACAAAAGAAGATCCAACCTTCCCAACGTAGATATCTATCGCATAACTTGGAACCAACTGAGTCAATATCTAAAACTCTCGTCAGCGTCAAAATTATGGAACATTAGAGCAGTAACACGCGGATTCACTAAACTAAACTAACAAAAATCGGACCTCTAATTCCACAAGTAGTAATTCGATAATGCTCGACCTTTTCAGTCGACCATCTAGACAAAGATGAGATGAAAATCGAACCATCTCGAGAACTGGCAGAAAAACAACAGAACTGTCGGTTCACGAAAAAATCGAAGCAAGCCGGGTTTTCTTAAATCTGAAAAATTTTGAATTGGAAGTCAAGAAATGTGTCCCTTTTAACTTGTTAGTGGCCCAGTTGATCCTATGAAGTTAACACCACTCCATGATCACGAGGTACCTTCAGGTCAAATCAATCTTCATTTTTTGAAACGATTTCTCAAATATGAAGCACAAGTATTGATACATTTTTCTCAATTATTTACATTTCCTCGCATAGTTAACGGTATCACGAAAATCTTGAGCATAGCAACTTGAAACGTTTCCCCAGAACTGAAAGGCTTCCATTGCACAGAGCACATCAGAAATCTTTGAAAAAATATTTCTCTAAAGCCACACGAAAAATCAACGTAAAATCATCAGTAAAACTTGAGCTGCCTTAAATGACTTTTTGAACTAAAAAGGAACTGCGTCGTCCGGATATTTCAATTTTACAATTGCCGAATGAGATTAGCGTATCAGAGGAAATTTCATCGATACACTCGACGAAAAAATTCACTTGCACTCCACTGGAACAAATTTATAGACGCACAATACCATCGGCTTGCGTGCAAAATAGCATTAGATTTTTCGACCAATTCTCGACCAAAAAGACACCTACGCGCGTGTTGAGAGCTCTAATCAAAAAATATGATGACGCCTCGCTAGAAGACGACGGGTATGTCGATGCCTAGCAACACTTGACTCTCGTCAAATCTCAGAATCGAACAAAACTACGGCTTCACTTGGACTAGACTACTTCCTTCACCCTAAGACTCAGGACTCTCGGGAAGGATACACAGGTTTCTCTCACACAAGTTTCGCGGAAAGACAGGAGAAAAAAAAACGTAAAAGGATTTTGTTCTCAACCGTCAACATCACAATACAAAGCGGCGATTTTTTTTTCCGTCTTCAGAGTCGGCGTATTTGTCTAATTAAAAAGCTGCTACGAAATCCCACCCTGTCGAAATACAGTGTTAGGAAGGAGCCGTACCTAAAGTAGAACAGACCTGACCAGCGGCGAAGAATACAAGATTTACGACGAAACTTCGGTGGCGGGAATCAGTATCAGATACGCAACCAACGAGGAGTCACTAGACACATCCCCGAAGAAACTTCGGAAACGGATAAGTCTACTCAGTTCGAGGATGCTCAATGACTCCACAGTAAATGACCCCGTTTCCAAACTAAGTTCTCCGAACGTTACGATTGGAGTTCTGAATGGTAAAACAAAACCAACGGAAGCCTGAAGATTCCCCAAACGTACACAGATAAGTTCTGCGGCAACGTAACCAAGATTAGCGAATGTTGCCTTCGCTTATACTCCAACCCCACTAATGTACAGATCGACCAATAGATACGCAATAAGCTCGACGCTGTCGGATCGGATAGTTTTACCCTTGGGGGCGCCGATTGCACACGTGATGTCGATTCACTTTTCTCAAACGATTCTCGCCTGCGTGAGGGGATAAGAGAAGCATGTAAAAATTCGCACATCCACGTCGTACAAGATTCGCCCGCTGACTTCGTTTTCATCGTTCAAGCTTCGACAGTCTGAAACCTCGCACCGATTGGCCTGAAGGCTTTCATAAACGAAATACTGTTTAAAATTTCATTTCTTGTCTGTTGGCTAGAAATCTTCTGAATCGGAATGAGGTTTCAGACTGTCGCATGGAGGAACGCAGCACACCTGCGTGATCGGGTCCTTCATGATGAGAACGTCTGTGACTGTGCCGTAGGGTGAGAAGTAGTCTCGCAGTTTGTCTGTCGTCGTTTGCCACGACAGTCCGCCGACAAACAACTTGTTCGGCGGAGGATCGATGTGCTGCTGCGCCGGCGGCGAAGAAGTTGTAGGATTGTCTCCATTTCCTGGAGTCGGCGAACCCTGTATTATATGAACGAGAAACAAATCTCTTAGTACGCACGTCATAATGTTAATACAGTTCCGTAATTTCATACGTAATCTCTTGGACATGTCTGTTCATAACATATATAATCCGCTACGGTTAGGAAATAAAGTAAGTTATCATATGTGTAGGCATCACCGAATTTCTTCCATCGCAATTCCCATACTCACAAAGAAAAAAACAGATTTTTTAGCTTACGATCTCTCAACGAGCAACACTATTCATTGAAGAACAACTCAACTAGGATACGAAGATTTTTACCGAAAATTTCTGACCAGGAGTAGAGACAGAACTATTTTCTTTAAACATAGCTTCCACCAACAAAGTAAATATTACGATTTGGCCTAGAAACCCCTGAACAGATGAAGGAATGATGTCTAGAAATAAGAAACAGACAACCCTTAATTTAGTGGTGTCCTTGCAAAGTGCTACAAACTTCCCTGGATTGTGATCTCACGGGAATATTGGAACTCAATGCCATGAAAAATCCTTGGACCGAAATCATGGCACTTTATCCAGGGATATGCAACTTTCTTCGATTGAAAAAGCAAATAAGTTGAAGCTTTCCAGGAAAAACTGGTGCATCATTCATGAAGGCAAATGATATTGAACAAAAATGCAAAGAAAATTTCAGGAAACAGATCTGCTTCTTCCAAGACACAATACAATTCTTACGCAGTTTTTCTGTCTTGATAAATTTTTGATACAGAATAAATAACAGTACATTTCAGCTTTACAGTAATTTTGTGATTTCCTCTTACATAAAACGGATTTAGTGACCTGGAAAATGTGATAGAATACCGTAATTGGTGGCATTGAATGGACGTTTGACTGTACCGGTAATGAGGGCACGAAGGAAACATTAACCCACGCTTGTGGTGGGTCATTTGCACGACACGTTGTCTTATTAACAGACCCTTGCCTTCTCATGTCAGGTTTATGCTTAAGCAGAGTCCAACACCTAAATGCTTTTATGAATGAAGCCAGATAGTCTACTAAAACTCGTAGACAGTACTGTACTCAATGTTTCATCTTGTAATTACCGATTGTAATTGCGATTGTTGCTGCTGCTGCTGCTCCTGCGGCGATGGAGAATTGCCGCGGCTGCCGGACATTCCGTTGGCCGGAGGGATGGCGAGGCCGTTCATTCCTCCCAACCCGTTTGTTATCCCGGCCGTTGTTTGATAGGATGCAATCCCTGTAGCGTCAGCCTTGAGGCCTAAAGCGGCCGCGTATTGGTGCATCGGCGCACCAGGTTCCGTCTTCAAACTGGCTCCCACGCCCACGAACTGCGCCATTCCACGATCTGAAAAGCAAACGGATACTGTATTTTATCGCGTACAGAACGATCAGCGAGAATATGTTCATTGTAATGTACTAGGAAAAGCATTTTTGGATAATGGTGATGCGATAAGGGCATCTTGGTACGCGACATTTGCTTCACTTATGTAGAGCGATGCTTCTGACAAACTTCTACGTGAAGTGAAAAAAGTGTGAATTTGAGGATACAAGGGAAGAGTTTCTCGGGTTGCGTTCACAGTTCCTTCTATAATTATTAAACTTAATATTTTGGGCGTGGTTCCTGAAAAATAAGGGGTTTTCATCGTTGGAAGATTTAGTCCCCGGCGGTGCGACACGTACACAGTACAGTACAACACAAGTGAATTGGGACGTTAGGTTCCGGATTCCCTCAATCAATCGCACGCGATTTTACACCACGTCAACGGATAAATTAATTTTACAGCGGAACCAACTCATACTTGAAATTATTTCGCACACTTCAACGTCGTTGGAAATGATGAAATATGCCCATCAATAAACATGTACGAGAACAGAAATACGTCGAAGTACGAAACATGACGAGTGTAGCAATGTTAATGCAATGTTTCAGGTTGTTACAATATCCCTTAATCCCTCGTTAACTTTATTTTCCAGCTTTGGCCGTTGATCGGCTGCACCTCTCTCGCATGTGGCTTTCTCGCCGGAGCGATCCTTAGGACAATGGCCAAGTCAAAGGATGCAGCGTGAGTCAAATACGGCATTTCTTTTCGTGTCACTTATACATAAACTTCTAAATCTTAAAAGTACATGTCGACCTGCACATCCACCTTTCCCCCTCCATTTTGAGTGAAAAAACGTTGGCCTCATACAGTACAAGAAAATTCAAATGAACCTATAATAGAAAATCTATTTTCGGACGATTTGTCAGCAGGAACAACTCGCAAATCGCAGAAATTCCGAAAATTTGTTTGATGGAGCAGTTAAATTCAACATTCTAAGCTTTCCAAAATTCGCAATATTGTATCAGTGAGAGCTTAAAGAAAAGTCTGAGAACGATTCTCGTAAAAATTCCCGCGAGTCAAAATCTAACTTAATTCACTGTAAAAAAAACCCTCGCTTTTGTTTTCTTTTCTGAAACTCGATGATTTGAGAAAAAAAATTCTTCATTTTTTTTTTATTTTTTCCCCCCATAAATTTGAAGTTTCTGGAAGGCGTCTCGGTACGAAGAGCCGTGGAACAAAGTCGACCCGACCAAACACGACAAGGTGAGTATCGCGAAAAGAGTCTCGCCAAAAGACGTTATCCGTCGTCGATCGCGCGCAAGGTTTCGACGACGACATCGTCGCGTCATTCGACGAAGTTTTTATTTTTTATTTTCGTTCCGGAACCTCGAGGTTATTGTCGTTTTCATGAGCGCAGTTTTTTGGCAACTCTGCGTCTTGCTAACGACGATAGCCTCGAACGGAATGATCTTCACGCGGCAAAGAAGAAAAAAGGCGAGGAAAATGGTTTGAAGGGACTCATTGTCGACGGAACTTCGCTGGTGAGTTGAGTGATACATACATATACTGTATTTTTTTCGTCTCGGTACTTAGTACAGTACTGAAATAACTCCATCGTAAATTGGGAAATTCGTGGCCTTCACGACCGATGATCTGTAGCTATGCAACAATGTTCGACAGACTAAAACGAAAATTCCCGAAGTAAACAGATCACTTCTCTTCCAACGAATGGGAATCCTCAAAGTGACACCGGAATTCCGAGACTTCTCACCACGTCAACTAATCGACTGGGGGGTCGAAAAAAGAAAAAAAATGTTAAACAAAACAAAAAAACCACGATGGGATGCGTCTTGCCAAATTTCCCCAGGAATCCAGAAACGCTTCGTTTTTGCGGATTCCATGCCGGGATGAGAGTGCAGAAGCATATTCCCTACCGACAACACCGATGGCAATACACCGCATTCAGTTCGTGCCAATGCAAACATTTCGACCTCCGACACCTCTTTCATGGGGTTTGCTAGCAGGGGGGAGGAGCAAATGGCACAAGGAATCTGCATTTGCGTGGGGCTTGCTAAAACTTCTGCTTCTGCAGTTTTTATTGATTTTCTTCCACACATAGATTGACCCTCGTGTCGCATTTCTAATACAACAACAAAAAATGCGATCACGTCTCAGGATATTGCACGTTTTCAAAGTGAGAGATTTTTCGGTGTAATTTATTTGTAGTGAATCCTGAAAGTCTCGACAAAAATCAACTATGAAAAAAACGTGATAAATTAAAATTTCGGTATTTTACTTCGAAGCGGTAAAATCTTGTAGAAAATTCTTGAAAGAAATTTGAGAAAACTTTACCATGCATCGAGTGTAAATCATGAATATACTAGAAATATCTTTTCCGTTTTCGAACCTTTTTCCAGAAAAAATCAAAATAATCGTTACATCTTATTCGTGTACGGTGACATTTATTTATGACGTCAGTAAGCAGGATAAAAATTTCTCGCACTTCTAAACGCTGCAAATTTATCAACAGCACTTCTCTAGCTCATTAGACTGTTTTTGTCTTGTCTTTGATTTAATTTGAATTATTAGTTTCGCCATTATCTGAAGAGCAAGTATTTGAAGAATAAACGATTAACAGAACTGAATTTCATGAATGTTAAATTTAATAAATTTAATTAAATTTCCTAACACACTCTTTCACTGCATTTTCTGACTCAACTCGACTGAGAAAATATCAGTACAGTACTTAACTGCTCATGGACTTTCTCAGTACCGTTCGGTATTTATCTCAATATTTTCCAATGCGAAGAAATTAATTTGCATTCATTCACTCGGAAACTGAGGATGAATTTTCTTAAATTATGCTCACATCCTTCCCTCGAAAACTCCACGCGCAAACAAAAATAATTGAATCGAGGTAATAGTTAAAACGCGACTATAATAGGTACTTAGAGTACGTTGTTAGTTATCATATTATGACATTAAGTATTAAAAGGTTACAAGGTTACTGTAATTAAAGCCTATTATTTTTAAATAAAAGGCTCATCTGTATAATGCTCAAATAATTTATTCGAAAACTCGACGTGCACAATAAATAAAATCACTGTTAATCAATTTCTAAGTGACCATCTACGAATCTCAAAACAAAAATTCTTGTCATTTTCCCTGATTCTAAGTGTAAGACGAAAGGAATCTTATGTTCAGAGTGACGCCATGATGGACGAACTTACCCCCAAATGAAACCCTCTCCATTCGGGGGTTTACAGCCACTCAGACACGCGACATTTTCTAATCACCCCACGTTTTTTCCATGTGTCAGGTGGCAGACGGTACAAATCGTGTACCATCCCTTCCCTCGTTTTAAACGTGGCTTAAAAATACCCTCGACACGGTTTCACAGGTGGCAAGCATAGACTATTCTTCCACACAAAACTTATGCAGAACTTATGCAGTTCTTTTCACTTTTCTCTCCTCTTCCGTATCTACTAATGTACAGTGTATTAACATTCTCTAAGCCAGTGTTCGGGAATATTTTCGGGCCGGCGAATTTGCAGACCAGCGGACATTACATAAATACAGTACCTGCCAGGAAGCCCTCAAACCAGAACTTGTCTGAGCAATTCCTGCTTTGCAGGTTCTCAAAATTAATTTGAGAACCAGCAGATGAGCAGCTTTAGTGGAATGTCTTCAAAAAGGATAAAGCTGGGCTTCAAGAAAGGTTTTTTTTCAAAATGAATACTTGGAATAAAGTAAAACGTCTTTTAGTCAAAATTTATATATCAGTAAGAAAAATTGAGTGAGGCAAACAAGCATTTTCGTTAGGGAAAATAAGAGAGGAATTGAAGGATATTGTAATTGGCAATATTCTGGGCCATGAATTGCTTCTTAAATGAGTTGACAAGCTGCTGAACTTTCAGATTTGGGTTCAACTGACCCATGACATGCTTATTGCCTTTCATCTTTAACATGTCAATATATATTACCCTGACGACCCTCAGAAAAATTGAGTTATGCATGGTTTCCAAGGGGATTCAGAGAGGGCCACAGTGAAATAAAAACACAAGAAAATTCAATAGAAGAAGTTGATGTAAGGAAGGAATTTGACTCAAGAAAGCTACTAAGTTATTAATGTTTAACTGTACTTTATTTCAGCAGGTGAAATTTTGTCTGAAATATCATCAGGAGAATGCCAACCTTACTTTTTTTGTCAAAAATTCTCCAAATTGTAAATTTTAAAAATATTGTCACCTGCTGAATGAAATTATTTCAAGTATCCATTCTGAGAGAAATTTTGTCTGAAATATCATCAGGAGAATGCCAACCTTACTTTTTTTGTCAAAAATTCTCCAAATTGTAAATTTTAAAAATATTGTCACCTGCTGAATGAAATTATTAGTTCATAGGTAAGACTCTTTTAGAAATAGTAAAGAATTAAAGAACTTCTGTAAGGTGGCGTATAGACGAAGTCACGAAGAATTTAATCAAAAACGTTATATGTAAAACACACCTCCCGAACTACCGTAGCACTGTACTTGGAAAAAGGTTTGCTGGTCTGCAAAATTTTTATGAAACGTTGCTGTTCTGCCAAAAATTCTGTGAACATTTTTAACCCATGGGCCCAAGAAAAATGAAGGCCAGTTTTCTGTGGACCAGTGCAGGTCTGCAGAAATTTTTGCCAGTCCATGTGAACTTTTCAGCATAATACATTCATCAGAAGTAGCAGTGAAGTCTTATCTTTTTTCTAAACTTTTGGAAAGACAATGGGAGTAAAACTTTTCTGATGACAAATAAAAGATGTCTTCTCTCCTTATACTGCTTCAGAAAATTTTGACTTGCTGAAATAAATTATTTCAATTTTGCATTCTGAGAGACACTTCTTCAAGCCTATCCTTCTAATTTTGTGACAACATTATGCTATAGCTGCTTAATTTGTGCTTAACTTAATCTGGCAAAAATGGAGAAATTTTTCAATACCTGCCATAAAGTCTTCCAAGCTAAACTTTTGTTGAGTCTGCAAAAATTTTGTGAAACTTTGCTGGTCTGAGGGCCCAAAAAGGTTGGGGAACACTGGTGAAGGCCACTGCTCCAAGCAACAACCCTGTTTCTTTCTCAAATGGATGACTGAAATGAATGCATTGCAACTAATCAAATGGTTTT